ACAGTTGTGAGATCAAGCCCTGAGTTCAGTTCTGTGCTGGGTGCAGAGCCTATTTTAAAAAAAGAAAAAAATCAGGGTGCCTGGGTGGCTTAGTCGGTTAAGCTTCTGCCTTCCGCCCAGGTCAGGATCCCACAGTGCTGGGATCAAGCCCTGCATTGGGCTCTCTGCTTAGCGGTCTCTGCTTCTTCTTCTGCCTCTCACCCCTTTGTGCTCTTTCTCCTCTCTCTTTTTCTCAAATAAATAAATAAAATCTTTAAAAAAAAAACAAAACAGTTTATGTAGGGTGTTAAAAAGTTTAGAAATTAATGGTGATGGTTGCACAACATTGTGAATGTAATGCCTCTGATTTGCACATTTAAAAATGGTTAAAATGGCCAGTTTTATGTTTTATAGTTTTACCACAATTTAAAAAGATCATGTAATATACCCAAAACTCTAATATTATATACTTTAAATCAATGAATTGTATGATGTCTAAATTATATTTTAATAAAGCTGTTAAAAAAAAAAAAAGATGTGGTATAACAAGCAAAGTCTTACTGAGCTTCCTTTCCTTGTTGCTAGAAGAACATTTCCTGGCCTCATACCAAACTACATTTGCCACAAGTGGTTTTCCTAAACCTCAACATTCTCATCACAAATTTCTTATTAATCAGTGTAAGAGCTGTGTATTTAAAAAAGTTCTAGTTTATTTCGTATTCTTATAGTGATTTAGTTTTCTTCCCATTAAGTTTTTTATATTGAACGCTAGCGATAATGCACACCTGAATTCATTTATTAGATCTTCGTAACGTGTAAATGTTAGTGAACCCAAATGATGGAAAGGGCAGGTGTCCCTTATAATTTAGACTCAGAACAATTCTAAAGCTAGTCAAGATGACAGCAGACAAGCACAATTAATCCTGATCTATGGAAACAACTTGAAGGTATAACTTTCTACTCTTGGCAGGACAAGAAGCAAAATTAAATGTATATTTTTCCAAAAAGCAAATAAAAAAAATCTTTTCACTTATAACAAAAAGGAGTGAGGAATGTTTATTATCAAAATTGGTAACTTAATAAAATGGAGATATGGACACAAGTGTTTTCACAATGGTTTTTACAAAGAAGCCACCGTATAGAGACTAAAACTGAGACTGATGTGGCAGAAAGAAAAACGTAAGACCAGTAACCAACCTGATCAGTCCCCAATGAGGAGCAAAGACAGTACCTGTTACACTTTCTGCAGTGATGTGACCGTGGCGCCTTGTATGCTTGGCAGACTTTACAATACTGGAGGTACATGCTATCCTGAGAATTTTCCTTGGTAGCAAAATATAAAAAAAATTCATCGGTTATCTGATCCTAAGTAATAACATGTCAAGTCTTATGAATAAATGCTTTGGTATGGTTTGATTTTCTTCTATGAGGGGTTGGGATAAGGACAGAATCCTAACTTGCATTTCCAGCCCTTTTATTTGAGCTGAAATATTTTTAAATAATGAGTTTCTGGTTAACAGCCACATCACTCTTCCAATTACCCAGAACTCATTTTTAATTTCTCTTCCCCTGCTCCACCCAAACCCATCGCCACTGATCGCAGCTGATTCTACTTTCCCAAACTCTTACTAGAATGGGAGGAGTTCAGAAAAAAGGTAGCTGACCGTGTGGCAGGAACTTTGGAGTGAGGATTCAAACATCAGAGCTGATACTTTTGAGATCTCTTTTGCACCATTTTAGTCACTTCTAACTACTTTCCTTTACTGTATCTCTTTCTAATCCAAACTATTTTCAGAATAATATTCCTATAACGCAACTCAGATTAGGTCAGAGCTTGGCTTGACAAACCTCTACTACCTCCCTATGGCCTAACAGTTCCTCACGCATTTAAGGCCTTCTACAATCTGCCTTTGTTTCCGCTTTATTGGCACAACATAACCTGTTATTTCTGACTATATGCTTCCACTACCAACCAACCTGGAATGTCTTCTTTCCCATCTGTGGAAATTTCCACTCCTCCCTCAGGTCCCCAGCTGGAAAAGATCAGGTCCTTCTAACTTCAACAGCACTCATCCCATTCTTCCCTATAATTTAGTTACTTATACAAGTCCCTTGGTTTCTCTCAACTATAAGGTTTTTCAGGATACAAAGTTGTCTCTGTACCCACTTTAAATAGTATACTACATTAGTGTTTCTCCAACATTAACATACTTAAGAATCATCTGGCGATTTTGTTAAATGCTGATTCTGATTCCTAGGTCTCGAGTGGAGCCCAAGATTCTGCATTTCTAACAAGCTATCAGATGGTGTCCCTCAGCAAGCAATATGGAAATTCATGAGCATAAACTTCCCACAACTTTTTAAAAGCCACAAATTGATTTGTACTGTACTTCCTAATGTGACGATTTTAACATTGACTTTAAAACTTTATGATTTAAGCCAGCAATTTTTAAAGTTTTTTTTTCCAGTTCTGAGGGCTGTTAATGTATTATGTGACAAAAGATCCTAGAGCCAAACTGCTCTCTATAACATGCAGTATTTCTTAAATTTAGGACTGTAGTCTCCCCAGCCCCCTTCATTCTTCTTTTTTCTTTTAATGCAGGACAAGTATTCCATAAAATTTCTCTGGGAAATACTAAATTTTTTTTTTTTTTAGTTTTTGGGAAATACTAATTTAGATGAGTTTTTCCAAACAGATACAAAATAAATTCTTTGAGGGCACCTGGGTGGCTCAGTGGGTTAAAGCCTCTGCCTTCAGATCGGGTCATGATCCCAGGGTCCTGGGATCAAGCCCCGCATCGGGCTCTCTGCTCAGTGGAGAGCCTGCTTCCTCCTCTCTCTCCCTGCCTGCCTCTCTGCCTACTTGTGATCTCTGCCTGTCAAATAAATTTTAAAAAATCTTAAAAAAAAAATAAGTTCTTTGAGCTCTAAATGATAATTAGAATAATATGCTTAGCCTCTACTAAGGCAAAAAGTAGGCTGTGTCTGATATTATTGGTTAGCAGATAAGCCATAAACTAAATATATGATTATTGTTAGAGTTTCTTATCTTAAGAGATCTTTTTCTTACCGGTTTCCACCCCAAAGGAACAAAGCCAGGACCAATAAACATGGCATTGAAGTAATTATAAAGAATCATGACAGTCCAATTTATCAACATGATGAAATTCACGCTTCCTCCAGTTGTATGTAAAGGCCAATACCACAACACAGAGTCAATCATGGCCATCGTAGAACATATTGCTATAACGCCAAGGGCTATAATGGGACCCCAGTGACACAGTCTCTTTAATTCTTGGAGATTTTCAAACTTGATAACTGAGCAGAATGTACCCATTCTGGTGAGGAAGAATGCCTTCCTACTTTTAAAAAATTATAGATTTCCTTTTTCTGTGCACACATTTCCATGTGCCACAAGTCCATGTGGGTTCCTTAATTGTCATGCCTTTAAGCTGTGGGATGTTAATGCAGATTATGCCATTTTCACTGTAACACACTCAGAGCTCTTTATCTTAACTGGGAGAATCCAGTGTCTTGGCTTGAAACCCAATCTAAAGAAAACAAAATGAGAAAGCTCAGTAAAAAATTTTATTATATACATTTAACTCCAATAACCACCTAAACAAAAGCATCTCACGAGTGCACTCCTATGGGATGAGCGCCTTATCTGATGCTGAAGAGAACTATTTTTATCTTATCCCAAATAGGGCTCAAGTCTGAATGGCATATGAACTGAATACATGATTCTGAAAGAGTTGTTTTTATTCCTTTGTTTTCAACTTGTCGGGGAGCTGGGACTGTCCAACCTTTAGTGAACGGTTTGGAGAGACAAAGATTTTCAGAGCTGGAGCAGGCGTTAGGGGTGACTGAATTCAGCTCCCTTCTTCATAGAAAAGAAACTGGCTTGGAGAGGGTGATTACACCAAGCTGACAACGAAGAGCTGACCCTAGACTAGAAACCAAGTCATCGACCTCCTTTTACGGAATTCCAAACTGCCTTTTACCGAATCGCGATTTGTCAAGTAAGAGCCCGACTCGGTCTGACATTTGCCCGCGATTGCTCCCTAACACCAACTGCAGGATCTATTTGGGCCAAAGGTAAAGAGACGAGGGAGTGAAAGCACGGGACGGGAGACAGAGGTGTGTGTGCAATCATGACTCGAGGAACACGGGAGAATGAACACGAATGAAAATATTTGAGGGGGAAAAAAGGAGGAAATGCCTCCGGAGCGAGGGACAGGGAAGGCAGGACGCCGAGCGTCGGAAGATCTGTGGAAGGACTGATTTCTCACTGGACTGCAGCGAGTCAAGGGACGATCCCAGATAAAAGGGTAATAGGGACTTTCACGCAACAGATGCTACTGCCTCGTGCCTCAGTTTCCCGCCCGGGTCATGGAGCAGAGCGCTTAGAAATCCTCACTCAGAGGAGAAACATCCCGGCAAGCGTGGTTGGTTTCAACATTCTGGAGATTCTGGGCTCATTCGGGTGGGGCGAAGACCGCCAAAATCATAGTTACATCCCTTGCCTTGGCTCCCACCTCAGTCCGGTCCTTAGTGCCCGCTCCACAGCCATCGCATTTCCGGGGCGGCCTGGGCTCACCCGGAACAGGTTTTTTCCTCTTCGGATAACGCCGTCATGGGACCTCAGGCCAGCGCAAGCAGAAAGCAAATCCTGGTTGTAAGAAGGTGGAGTGCAGAACCTGCCGCCACCAGTCTGTCTCCCCGCCTGCTCTCTCGCCGCTGCTCTCCAGCTCCCGCCCGCGGCACGGTCTCTGCGACAGCCACTTCCGGGAGGTTCGCCACATCAGACTTCCCCGGGGAAGCAAGTTCCTGGGATCCATAGCTTGGGGAGCCGGAGCCGCTTTTCAGAACGTGGAGTGGCAAAAAATGCTTTCAGTGATCCCCGAGAACCCGCAGGTTTTAGGAAGCTTTTCGGGGCCCTAATAGAACTGCTTTTCTTTCGAGATTTTTTTAAAATCTCGAAGGCCGAGCGGACAATAAAAAACGCATCCAGGCCAATTTTCGGAGGACTGAGATTGCGACGAACAACCAGGAAGCGGCCAGGCTGGGAGCTGTCCCCGGTTCTCCACTCTGCTCTCGAGGCCCCCTCCCAGGGTCCCTACACGGTGTTCGTCGGTCCCGCGTGGCTCTTGCCACGACCTGGGCTCCGGCCCGGGCCGATCTTTCCCGAGCCGCCATGTCATCCGACTTCGAAGGCTACGAGCAGGACTTCGCTGTGCTCACGGCAGAGATCACCAGCAAGATTGCGAGGGTCCCCCGACTCCCGCCTGGTGAGAGTCCGACCCGGCCGGGCGGGGGTGGCCCTGAGGGCGCTGAGGCTCGCGGGCGGTGGAACGTCTCTGAGGAGCGAGGTGGTGCAGGGGCCCTCCCGGAGTGATGGAGCTGGACTCGGTTGAGGGTAAAAGCACAGTCCAGGCTGGGTTGTGGAGTGCCATGAAAGGAGCCTACGCTGAGCCTTCTGGGCTGGAATCCGGACTTCGCCGCTTTGTTAACTTCTACAACCTTGGGAACGTTTCTCTGACTCTTAGTTTTTGTTTTGTTTTGTCTCATTTGTAAAATAGAGATGTGGATATTCAAAGAGTGAATGAACGTACCTAAATCATGGGTCTGCAATATACAGTAACCGGTTGTTTTGTTAGTAATAATATTACTATATGCGGCAAAATAGGGTTAAGAGCCATGGTACCAGGATTCAGATCCCAGCTTTGCCACTTAAAAGTTGTGGAACTTACGAAAGTTTCTTAAATCGCTCTCAACTTTACTTCTTGGTAAAATGGAGAACGGTACGTCTCTCGTGGGGTTGTGGAGATTAAATGATTTAACATATGGAAAGCCCTTTTTTGGTGTTAGCTGCTATAATTACTAGTATTTTTCACAACCCCCAACCCTTTATCTTATTTTTCATCCTTCTTGGGAGACTGTAACCTAATTTTCTGTAACACTTGGTACAGGATGATTTTTCTCACTTTTAAAATTCCACGTATCCCATCTAGAGGTGTTTTTGGTTTTGTTTCTTTATTTTATTTTTTAAAATAATTTATTTATTTGAGAGAGTGAGTGGAAGAGAGAGAGAGAGCATGGGCGGGGGTGGGGGGGAGAGCAGCAGAGGGAAAGGGAAAAGCAGACCCTCCCCCTCAGCAGGCACTCCCTTGTCCTCTGGAGGCTCCACCCCAAAACCCTGTGATCACGACCTGAGCCAAAGGCAAACACTTAACTGACTGAGCCACTCAGGTGCCCCTTGTTTTTATATTTTAGCATATTTTGCTTTCCATGCTTAAGTGTCAACTATGAAGGTGGGAGCTTTGTTTGATTTCCTTGGCATTTACTTAGGGCTCAGAAAAATGTTTAAATGAACAGATGAATATGAATATGATATTTGGTAATTTTTTTTTTGTATGTGAAACATTGTTTTAGGATTTATCTAAGTACAGGTTTGAGTGGTTAGTTGCAGATAAGATTATTACTTTTAGCTTCGTTTTGTTAGAGAAATTGATCCATCGTCTGGAGTTGGCTCTACCTGGCTCTGGGGTGTAGTGCATAGAAAAGAGGATGTTCAGTGATCTGTGAACTGGTGGGCAGCTTCCTATTTCCCAACTTGTTAGTCAATCCTTGATGCCAGCAATAATTTCTGCAGGACCTAAATTGTTGTTCCTTGATGCCTTTCACTACTTTCCCCAAACTTGTGTGTTTATAAATAATTTTCTTCCTTTATTTCCTTGTTTCTCTTTCCCGCTCCCCCACCTATTTTCTATTAATAGGGTCATTTGCTTGAAACCAGGATCTCTGAACTTACACCCCACTCATCTCCTGAAGTCCCAGTTAGTTCTGGTGAGGTGAATGATGTCTTAAAGAGGTTTATGAGCCTAAGTGAGGGAACAAGAGGACAGAACCAAGGTAGCATATACCACCGAGCTCTGCTGCCTCGGAGAAGGTGGCTGATGGCCTCATCACTTCATGATGCATCACCTCGTCTCTTCTCTTCAGTTCCGCTTTTCTCCACTGCCCAAGGCCATCTTGATTTTTGTTTTCCTTGTTGCTGGAGACTACTTCTTTTGACTTGAGGCTCAGAGTATCAGGACTAGTGATTTCAGTTGGCTTTTTGTCTATTTTTAATTGTAACAGTTTTAACAGAGAAGCATTTTCTGTTTGGGCTAATAGATTTTTGTATTGGGCAGGTGTTTTATATAAAGCAACAAAGTCATCCATGGGTGCAAAGTTGTAAAAGCTGTGTCCAAGAAAATAGATATTGTTACAGTTGATTTTTTTTCCTTGTCTTTAAGTCTCAATGTAACCATTCTTGCCATATAGAAGGAAACCTTCGATTTACATGCCTTAAAAATAAAACCTTGACTGGCCTTGCATATAGTCTAATGTAAGGACCAAACATAGCAGCTTCACCGGAATTGAAAGAAGATTGTATAGCGGGCACTGGAAAAATGCTTACTGACCTGACTAATCGAATGATAATAATTCTTAAAAATGTAGTAGTTTCCCTCTTAGTAGTTACTTATGCTTGCTCCCTTTATGATCTGTTTCCAATTAATAAATAGAAAAGGATGAAAAATATATCCATGTAGTTATAAATTTCAGATATATGTCTGTGAACTAAAAAATTAATATGTATCACCAAAAAAAAAAAAAGAGAAAAGTATGATTAAAAGTAATTATCATCTCTCTGGACATCATTAGTGGTTGACCTAGAGGAGATGAACTATGCTTTACTTGATTTGAGAAGTTTAAAATTGGAGGAAACTTTGCAGCCAGAGCAGTTCATTCCCTGAGCTTACTGACTTACTTAAATTGAAGTAGAGTGAGTAGGATTGATTATAATGAACTTCAATCTCTGCTGTGCATGTACAATGTATTAAAGTGTTACCTCCAGGGAGAATGAAAAAGATTGAGTATTTTACAACCTCATTTTAAAGGAGAAATTTGATTACTCTGTGATATGTTTTAAACAATAAAAAGACTTTGCTCTTAGACTGAAGTGTTTGAATTTAACTAATTTTAGTACTTGGACTGATGAAACACATCAGTCCCTTCGTAGGTAGTAGTTTTATGACACTATTTGAAATTTAATTTTAATGATAAGAGTTCTGTGGTGAAGTCAGGAAAACGGAAGTGTGAAAACCATAGCTAATACTAATTGCGAAGTTCTTTTTTCTTTGGTGAAGAACCCCAGGTGGGGGATGCTCTGCAGAGGCTCCATTACATCAGGCAGGCATCCTCAAGAATCATAAATAAAATGTTCTTCTGCAATTATTTGCTTACTTCATTTACAGAGAGAGAAATGGTCTTCTGTGGATCCTACCACTGTAAGATTCACAAACGGCATTGGATCTGTTTAGAATCTCTGCTTTGCTACTTACTAGACGTGCAGTCTCGGGCAAATTGCTTGGCCTCTCTAAGCCTGCTTCCTCCATCTTTAAGTTGGGGAGAGGATGTAATTGCTTCAACCTTACAATATTGTAAGAACATCAAATGAAAGAAAGCCTGGAACACCCTAGCACAATTTTCTTCCCAGAGAATGTGCATGATAAATTAGCTATTAAAAGTGTTGATACTGCTGGAGGCAACAGCTGGTAGGGTTACTTAGGACCCAGCTTCTTAGACTTTGTGATATTAATTGAATTCTTACAGGAAACTTGGACCTCAGTTCTTTCTTCCTTTTCTGCCTAGACTAGAGTTAGGTGGATCTCTCTTGCTGATGCCTACATTTGAAAGTATATGAGTGATCTGAGCTTTTTGGATATGAAATGAAATTGGGCTTTGAGCTCAGGATGTCAAGGAGGGAGGCAGGGAAAGAAGTGAAAGTGGTGGGGCAAGACAGATGTCCTTGCTAGAAGAAAATGCTCAAGTCTCTCTTATTACATATGTCAATCCTCGGAGGCTTTTGAAGACCATCTAGGAATAGCCGTAAATAGAAGCTGTAAATGTTCCGTGATTCTCTCTTGGCCTTTGTAGTTGTAGTGGTTATAGATAGAATTCAGAAAAGCTTTTACTTATGCTTTACTTATGCTTTTACTTATGAATATTGTGGTTTGCTTAGTATGTGGCTCTGGAGCTGTAATGTCCACATGTTCTACTGAGTGCTTGGAATATGGCTACAGAGTGAAATAATATTTTGGATGTATTGGACTAAATATTATTCAAACTAAATATCTACATATCTTAAAACTATATTTAGTTGTTCCTTTTTACTCTTTGAAATGTGGAGACTAGAAAATTTAAAATTTCCTGTGTGACTTGCATGCATTATATTTCTGTTATTTTGGAGACTTAGAGTTGAAGAGATAGTTCCAGTCCTAATTCAGGAATTTAGGTGCACAGTAAATTGGATTGGCATACTTAATCCCATACCCAAACTCTAATCCCAGAGGGACCACTCTCCCTTCACCAATGTAGTTAAGCTGAGTAATGGCTTCATTGGTTTTTTAAAAATAACTTTTAATTTCAGAACAGGTTTAGATTTGTAGAAAAATCACAAATACAGAGAACGCCTATATATCCCATGCCCAGTTTCCTCTATTGTTAATATCATGTATTAATATGATACATTTGGTGTTGTAGTCAGGGAGCCCAGACCGATACATTATAATTAAATGAAGTCCATACTTTGTTCAGATTTCCTTATGTTTTGTTTTCTTTATCTGTTTGTTTTGCCTAATGTCATTTCACTATTCTAGGATCCAGTCCGGGATACTAGAAAACATTTAGCAGTCAGGGCTCCTTATGTTCCTCTTAGCTGTGACAGTTTTCTCAGGCTTTTCTCTAGACTTCAGTTTAGGAGGAGTACTTGTAGGATATTTGAGAGAATATTCCTTAACTGGGATTTGCCTGATACTTTTCTCATGATTAGACTGGAGTTCTAGGTTTGGGGGAAGAAGATCACAGAAATAACGCACTGTTTTTATCACATTATATCAAGAATACTGTAACTTATCACTCCTGATGCTAACTTTGATCACCTGTCTAGGTTTGTCAGGTTTCTCCACTGTAAAGTTACTCTCTTGCTTCTTTTCCATACTCTTCGGAAGGTAGTCCTCTGCACGGTCCACACTTCAGGCCTGGGGAATCACATTCCACCTCCTTGAAGGCTTAACATTTATGTAAATCATTTGGGATCCCCTACAGGAGAGATTTTGTCTGTTCTGCTCCATTTACTTAGTCAGTTATATCCATGGATTTATGATATTTATTTCATTCTTTTTTATTGTATTCCAATACTACTTTATTTTGTTGCTCAAATTGTTCCATCTTTGACCTTTGGAAGCCCTTTACCTGGTTTCTGTGTCCTTTTGATAGACCCCTATCATTGCAGGTTTGTTTTTTGTTTTTCTTGTTTTGTTTCTTTTTCCTTTTTAGCACTTTCTTGCTTTCCGGTATTATAAAAAACTCTAGTATCCGCTTGTGTTTTTCCTGTACCAGCCCCAGATTCAGCCATTTCTACAATGAGTCCTGCTTCCATTTATTGAGAAGTGGTGTTAGAAACCAAGACCTGGGTGGCTTTGTGGGTTAAGCATCTGACTCTTGATTGAGTCTCAAGTCATGAAATCGAGCCCTATGTCAGGCTCCATGCTTAGCATGGATTCTTGGGATTCTTTCTCTCCCTCTCTCTCTACCCCTCCCCCATACTCTCTCTCTTAAGAAAGAAAAAGAAAAGAAAAACAAAACCGAGATCTGGATGCTGGGTACTTATTGCTACTGGGGTATTATTGCTTCTAGTCCTTCTCAGCTGGAAGACAAGGAAGTACATATGTGTACAAGTACATCTTATATATATACATATCAGTAAACATTTATATGTGTAGCCATCTATAGTGAGCTAAACATGAGTTCATATTGCTGTCTCCAACCCTAATCCATTATTACATGGATCATTCTAGAATGGCTTTGTTTCAGTTTTGACCATTCTCTAACGTGCTGCATAGTGTAGCATTAGTAATATGTCCATTTTTAAGTTCTCCAATATAAAAATTTCCTCTATTAGTGGTTTCACTATACATTTCCCAATACATAGTTTCTGCTACTATTTTATCCAAAAATAGCTACAATGCACAAAGACAGGTGCCAGTTACTGAATTTAAGTTAGCACTGACATTTACACTACTTTATGGGGGAGGGGGTGTGCAAGACTAACTAAGCACTTCTTTCAATACTAACAAAAAACATGCATCAAGCACTTCCGTTAATGTTGAGTGACCAAGAAAAAATAATACTATGCGAAGACTTATGTGTATACCAGCATTCATCAATCCTATATGCAAAAAAAAAAAAAAAAAAAAAAAAAAAAGTGATGAAATTTGTTTATATAGTATATTTTATGTAGTACATTAGAGGTTAAGAGCTCAGTTCGGGACAATAGACCTTGTTTAAATTCCAACTCTGCAATTTATTAGCTGTTTAACTTTGGAGAAATTATTTAATCACTCTGAGTTTACATACTTCCCTGAGAATGGGATAGTAACTAGTATCTCCAAAGGACCATTTGGAGGATTGACCGTAGTAATGTTCAAAACATAGCCCTGTGAAAACAATGATAGCTGTTAGTCATGAGGTTCTGAATCCTAGGACAGTGCCATTTGTAAACGGGATGGCATTTGGTGTGAAAAGCTTGAAACTGTCTTGGGAATTATGTAGGAGTAGTGCTAGAAGTCTGCCAAAAACTTAATGTTGGTAGATATTTCCAAGGTCATCTCATTCAGTCTTTCTTTCCTTCCTTTCTTCCTCATTCATGCTTTCCTCCTAAATCATCACCTTTTCATTCCCTTAAACATGTGAGGAATTTAGTTGGAGAGGGCTAAATTCAGAGTTAGGACAAAGATATGACAAGAGTGGTCCCTGCTTCCAAGGAGCTGGAAATGAAGGGGAGGAGCCACTAGAACAGAGCCCAGAGGTCTGGGAATTCAGAGGGGGTAAGATCTATCCCAGGAAATCACCTCAAGGAGAGGTGGGATTTAGCACAAAAATGGGGGAAAAGGTATATTAAGAGAGGTTGCAATAAGTGGGTGCAGTTGGTTTCTTGTTTTTGACTTCCCAGAATCCTCTATTCTATTTTCTGATAGCAGCACCTCAACTTTCCATTGAGGAAATACCTAGACCCAGTCTTGGTGGAACCAGTAGGCCACCATGCCCTTTACAGGTCAACAGGTGAACATATTACCCAAATGAGTGCATTCGAGAACGTTTCCTGGAATTCGAATTGTGGATAGAGTGAACCAAGAGGAGAACATGCCACTACCGCTCTAGACTCTCATTTTGCAGAGACTGTCAGTGAGTTCTGCTCCCTTGGTACCCCGAGGTACTCCTTTCTGAGCTTGGGGGCTCATTTTTATCATTGATTCTATGAGCCACTCCATTTTATTCTCATGATTCTCCCTCTAACTCTAACAGCTATCTTTCTAATACATTCCCTTTTTTGGCTTAGGTTAGTCAATTCTGTTGTAGTCAACCAAAGAACACTGAGTGGTAGCTTAAACAAAAGGTTAGAGCAGGGAAAAAAAAGAGGGAAAGAATGAGATTTGGGTAATAATGAATAGTCTGGGTAGCATGTAACATGTACACTGGAGAGCTAGTAGTTGGAAACAAAGTTGGAAAGGTTGCTTGGATCTGGAATGTGAAGGACCTTGACCTTTAGGCTTAAGTGATGCAATCAAAGCCACATTTTAGGAAGCTTAAGTGGTGGAGAGGAGCAGGTATGAAGACAGGGAAAGCTATTTTTGTAAATGTTTGCACAGTCCTACATTATTCAGTTAACTGCCAGTTTTCAAGAACTGATCATATGACCGGCTCAGTGCTCGATTTTAGGACTAGAAAACCAGAGTGTGCTGGAAGCCAGGGGACAAAAAAGTGAAAGGATGGGAGGAGCAGAATGTCGGATGCCACAAGATTAAGTAGAAGTAGGACCGGAGAATGTCCATTTGTTTGGGCAAAGGGAAGGTCATCAGACTTAGGGTCATTTCAGTGGACTGGTGGGAGTGAGAGCGAGATTACCAGGAGGAAATGGAGAGATGAAGAAGGGAAATGTGACTGTGGTTAGAGGAGAGAGAAATTAGTAGCAAATGGGAATACCGAACAAGGATGGCTTCTTCCTTTGTTTTGTTTTGTTGATAAGAAAGGCTGGTGCTTCTTAGTCCTGAAGGTCCAGCATGGACTTTCCCAACAACTGAACGCCTTAGAAATGTTATGGCATCTTTTCATAATTATGTACTCCATAGGATTATATATTTCCATGTAGCCTAGACTCAGTGACTTAAAAATGGTTCCTGACCCACCAAAGAATGATCTGGTCATCTGCCTGGTGGGGTAATTGTCTACTCTGATCAGAAAGGAAAAGGCATGTAAACATAGAAGTTTTCATATATTAAATTACTTGTATTCCTAGCAATTCCTTGGTATTTATTGTTTGTTTCAGATGAGAAGAAGCAGATGGTTGCAAATGTGGAGAAACAGCTCGAAGAAGCGAAAGAACTGGTAGGTACAGACATGGTCAGGTATTTTAACATAAAACCAGAGCCTTTTCTGCTGATGCCTTCCTCTAGCCTGTTTGATACTATATGGAAAGGTGACACTTTTCTGATTAGCATTTTAAAATTTGGACCTCATCAGTTTTTAAATTGAAGAGAATTTAATAGTTTCTTGGGATTTTATGCTTCTTAATTAAAGTGATTCATGAAAGGTCCACCTTTAATTTTGATTCCTTCATAATACTTTTCATAATAGCTAGAAATAGCTCATGCTTATTAAAGGCATACTGAGTACCAGACACTGGGTTAATCATATAACTCGCTTTATAATATTTAATTTTCACACAAGCCCTGTGAGACAAGTGCTATTCATCAAGAAGTGTTAAGGATCTGAGATGTTCCCCTACTTGATTCGTAGAAAGTGAGCTTGCCACAGTTTCATGGATGCGGGCGGAAGACAGGAGATTCTTAGGTCAGAGAGAGTTTTATTACAGCAAAAGGTGCTGTCAGAGTTTCAGCACGCTGCCTCAGGTCCCTGAGCCCCAGCTCCCACAGAGTGCTGCAGGTTGGCCTGGAAAAGTCCCCACACTCAGTGGAACACCTTGCAGGAAGGGAACCTGGAGCCTGGGAAATGCTCTGCTTTCTAGCGGTCTGTGAGCGAGGCTGCTGTTTGTCCCAGAGGGACACAGTATTTCCTCCCCAAGGGCTGCTCCTTGTAAATGTAACTCTGAGAAACGGCTTGAGAAAGGAGAGGTCAGGGCCTTACATTCTTGGCATGCCCAGCAAGACATGTGGGAGCATGAGACACCCACGGAGGAGTGATTCTCTATACCATGCTTGTCCCCATTTTGCAGATGGGGAAACTGAGGCCTAGGAAGATGAAGTAACTTTGAGATGCCACACCGAGCAAGTGGCAGAGTATGGGCTTGTATTTAAATATGCTGAGCCCAGAACTCCAGCTCATCCACTATTTCTTGATAAAAATAAACTTGCAAATCAAGGAACAAAAAATATTAAAAGGTATTGTGTCCCAGTTTTTGGTTTTAAAGCCAGGTATCACAAGGATGACTCTACCTGTTACTGCATTGTGTTCCCAAATGAGTGTGTCGCTTTCCTAAATGCTGAAGGGCGCTACTTGGGGTTCCTTCAGAACGTACTTACTGATGTACTTAGAACAGTTCCCCAAGTGTGTTTCCGGTGATGGCTGCTACCAGTTCAAGTACGTTTGGGAAATTAGCTAGCTGAGGTAGGATTGGAGGTTGGCATCTTTCTCAGTTGTTTTTCTACAGAATCTTCTTGACCCTGACGGAGTCTAAGAGGCATTATGAATCTCTAAGAAGGGACTGTAGGAGGCAGCTAAAGTGTGGAGCATTTCCAAGCTTATTTGACTGACTGACTGACTTTTGCTGACAGGGCCATACACAAGGGGCTGTCCTTTTAGGGGTTCTGTAGAAGTAGGTGGCTGTCGTTCCCTGAGACACAGCAGACCTTTGTTCTGCGACTTGGAGGGCTGAGGTAACAAGCTGCACCGCACTGCCCTGTCTCCTCTGGCTCTCCTCTAGCTGTCAGAATGGCGGACACTCTCCGTCCCCCAAGAACACTTGCTTCCCACCCCTCTGTGCTGTCACTGGGCTCTCCGGCTTCCAATGTTTGCCTCTCTTTTGACAGTTTCTCCCTTTTTGCAAATACTTTTATTCTTACTTTGTTTTCTTTTTGTATTCAACTATTTCTCTCATGGTTTCTGGCCTTCACGCAAAAAGACTGACCTCCTGCATAGTGTAGCTGCTGATCAGGACAGCCCTTCTTTCTGGCTGGAAGCTTCGCATCGATAGTACAGTGCAACTGCTCAGTTGTTTGCCTCCGAGTTGACCCCTTCTATTGTTGTTGAGTTCCCAGGAGCAGTTCTTCTGCCTCAAAATCTGTGTTTTGGTTTGTCGAGCCATCCAGGTACTCAATGTTAGAAAGGTGGTTTCCTAATAACCAAGATTTTACTATACCAAGAAATATAAGACATAGTCATCTCCTCATAGAGTTCGTAGTCATCCTCAGTCATGACCAACCCCAAGAGTTCTATCTAAGATAGGTGTTTCTGTTTGTTTAAGATGATCGGACAGCTGATTTACTGAGTTCCGATGGCATCCTTGTTAAGGACACTGTTCATTGTCCTCTCCTTTGGATGAGGACCCTGGCAGAAAAACTTCTTTTTGATCTCACTTATTAGGATTACTTGTGTTTCTGCTGAGCAACTGGCTTGGATTAATCTCTCGGACCCTGTTCGTTTTGTGATTACCATGTCCCCCACATGGTGTTGTTGGCCGGCTGAACGTTGGGACGACACGAAACAAGTTCATGTTAGCCTTATTTCTGGTTTCATTGGAAATGCTTGTTGTGTGTTTCCTTTTTTTTTTTTCTTACTTACCTACTGTTAATTTTGTTTTCAGTGTCTTTGTAAAATGTCTTAAACAGGAATGTCGTTAGCGCTTGGATTTTCAGTTATGTGTCCTTAAGCACTTATTTGGATGATCCTGCTCACCTTATTAGAACTAGGTACTTCATGATGATTTCAGAGAAGTGTTTTTTTTTTTTAAGTTTTAAAAAGATTTTTCTTTATTCATTAGAGAGAGAGAGAGAGAGAAAGGGAGCACAAGCAGGGGGAGGGAGAGTGGGAGAGGGGGAAGCAGACTCCTCACTGAGTACGGAGCCTGACTTGGGGCTCTATCTCAGGACCCCAGGATCATGACCTGAACTGAAGGCAGATGCCCAACTGACTGAGCCACCCAGGTGCCCCCAGAGAAGTATTTTAAGACTTGCCTTTGCTCAGTGATAGTTTAACTTATTGGTGCTTCACATTTATGTTGAGACATGGCAAGAATTTAAGTGGCCACTGCTTAAATCAAGGCTGATGAAAACTCTCTCTCTCTCTCAGAAAAAATTAAGGACTGTGAATTAAAACATGGTTTTCTGGTTTATCTGAGAGCTACTATCATTACTCAGTCTCTAACGATGGACAAGTAGAAGTTTTATTAGTGATAAGCTTATAGTAGTCATGGAAATAACTCATTAAAAGGTAAAATATAATAGCAGCATTTTTGGGTACGAGTTTATTTGACATGGTCTGAGCCAATTTGCTGTTGTGGTGGTTTTTATTTTTTAATGCCAGGTGTAAATAAGTTATCTCTGATACCTTGCATCTATACCTGCTGTATTTCCTCTGTATCATCAGTAATCATCTCTACTATTAACATTAATCTAGTGATTACCAAGCAAGAGACACTGTTGTAAGCACATTATAGGAATTACACCATATAATCTCTACAACTGTCCTACAAAGACATACTATTTTTAGAAAGGAGAAAAGTAAGGCCCAGAAGACTTAATAAACCCGTCCACGGCTGCCCATCTAATAAGTAATGGAGCCCGATGTAGACTCAGGCGTCTGACTCAAAAGTCTGTGTTCTTACTCGTCACACTATTTCTGTTTTGCCTCTCATTAAATGCGCATGTGTGGTATCCAAAGTGTTATTAATGCCAGATTCTTGAAAAGTATGTGGCTGTGATCTCAGTGAGCTTTGTGTAATTTAGTAGATGACTGTATCCACTCAGTGCCATATCAACATGGTTACAAAGGAGAAGGAGTTACACTGGAAGGTCAGACCACATATTGGTTGGCACATGATTTTCCTAATCAGAAAAGAGTTTCCAGAAGAATTTTCACCAAATGACTAAGGCTGGGCTGACATTTTATAAATTTTGGGTGGAAGTAATGGTTTGTTTTATGTTCCCATAGTCCTGGTGGTTTAGGGTCAGAAGACCAGTCCAGGTGAGGTTTGATTGAATGTTAGGACACACTGAAGGGATTAAGGTTGTTATTATTGAGGACATTTGGTTTAATGCATATGTTTAAAAAAAAAAAAATAGGGCACCTGGGTGGCTCAGTGGGTTAAGCCTCTGCCTTCAGCTCAGGTCATGATCTCAGGGTCCTGGGATCAAGCCCCGCATCTGGCTCTCTGCTCAGCAGGGAGCCTGCTTTCCCCTTCTCTCTGCCTGCCTCTCTGCCTACTTGTGATCTCCGTCTGTCAAATAAATAAATAAAACCTAAAACAAACAAACAAACAATCAAACACTCTTGACAGAGTGAGTGCTTTGGCACTCTGCACATCACTAGCAAGCAGTCAGGAACTTCACTTGTTGACACAAATATAAGTTAAGCCCCAAAGCACTCCCAGTGTCACTTGATCTTGGGCAGTGAGCTCTCTCAGCCTGGCTCCTCAGGTGTAAAACGAGAAATTGGGATTAAACCCTTTCAGCTCTAAATGTCTGGCCAAATAAAGCATAAGCATATGGTTGAAGTCACGTTTTCCTCTTGCCCTGCCAGCTTGAACAGATGGATCTGGAAGTCCGAGAGATACCACCCCAGAGTCGAGGAATGTACAGCAACAGGATGCGAAGCTACAAGCAAGAAATGGGCAAACTTGAAACAGATTTTGTGAGTCAGACTCCCCCTCTGTCATATTTACTGCTCTTTCATCTGCATCTTCACCTGTGTTTTCTTTCGTTTCCACCACACGCCTCAGTGAGCCCGATGAGCATCATCTCCAGGAGCCGGTGCAGGAGACAGCACAGCTTCCATTGTCTATGGCTTGGGGGGGGTCTAAAAATACCCAAAGAGCTAGCTAATGGTGGAATATGAGGTGTGTTGGATTCCTGACTCACAGATGGATCCGAAATGCGACGTCTTCTGGGTTTTGACAGTCTGTATTTATGCTTAGCATTTAGGAGAATTCTGAAACCCAATTTTGGGCCTTTCTTAATCTGCAGCCTTTCGGGTACAGTGTTCATAATGGACTTCAGGGGCGCATGAATGTCCTGAAATTATATAGGTATTTTTGGATGTCCATTTCTATGTGCACTCTTCTCCTGGGGTAGGCGCCATAGACTGTATTAGAGTCTTAAAGGAATATGTTACCTTCCTCCCACACAAGGACAGAAGGAATTTACTTAATAATTGATACAAGTGATTCTTTATACCAGTTGCCCCATGAGAGTATTAAGTGTTCTCCCCCTATATATCCGACTTTCAGCTCTACCCACTTAAGAGCAAGCTTAAGAACACATATTTAAATATAGAATGTTGAAATAGTTAGTAATTAGAAAGTAATAGGAGTATGGAAGCTAGAGCTGGGCAATTCCACTGCTGGGTATATTTCCAAAAGAATTGAAAGCAGAGTTTTTATATTTGTACACCCATGTTCATTGCAGCATTATTCACGACACCAAAAGGTAGAAGCGACCCAGGTGTCCAGCAGCAGATCAGTGGCTAAACAAAACATGGTGTACAATGAGATATTACTCAGCCTTAAAAATGGTGGAAATTCTAATGTGTCCTATGCTATGACACGACATGACATGCTTGAGAACATTATGCTAAGTGAAATAAGCGAATCATGAAAGGCAAATAGTATATGATTCTGTTTATCTTATGTTCCTAGAGTAGTCAAAGATAAGAGACAGAAAGTAGAATGGTGGTTGCCAGGAACTGGAGAGAGGGGGAAATGGGCCGTTATTGTTTAGTGGGTACAGAGTTTCAGTTTTGCAAGACGAAAGGTTCTAAAGAACGGCTGCTTAACAGGTGAATACATTTAACACCATGAAACTGTGTACTTAAGAATGGTTCAGACGGCAAATCTTAGGTTATGTGTATTTTACTACTTAAAAACAAAAAAGATGGGGTGCCTGGGTGGCTCAGTGGGTTAAAGCCTCTGCCTTTGGCTCAGGTCATGATCCCAGAGTCCTGGGATTGAGCCCCGAATGGGGCTCTCTGCTTAGCAGGGAGCCTGCTTCCTCCTCTCTCTCTGCCTGCTTCTCTGCCTACTTGATCTCTGTCTGTCAAATAAATAAATAAAATCTTAAAAAAAAAAAAAAGATAAGAAGAAGAAAGAACTGAGCTTTACCAGTAAATGACAGAGAAGTCATGTCTTGGTATGTGAATCGACTTCATTGCTGACCTGGGGGTCCAAATTCATAAAGAAAGTCAAGAAGTGATAAGAGTCTTTCTGCCTCTGTTCTTGCCTGAAGTGTTTTACTTATGGAGGTTGTGTCTTCTAGATTATAGCAGTACCAGACCCAGTAGAAATACCCCTAGAATCTGGAGATAGGGTGATTTGCAGTTAGACATCTTTATTTCATATTTTGGTGGATATTTCCTAAGAAGTTGAGATAGGCTATGTCAGTGACTCTGATGCAGTTACCTTTTAAATTGTGTTTTTATTAATTTAAAAAAAAATGGGGGACGCCTGGGTGGCTCATTGGGTTAAGCTTCTGCCTTCGGCTCAGGTTGTGATCTCAGGGTCCTGGGATCAAGTCCCACATTGGGCTCCCTGCTCAGCAGGGAGCCTGCTTCCCCCTCTCCCTCTGCTGCTCCCCCTGCTTGTGCTCTCTCTCTTTCTCTTACTCTCTGTCTGTCAAATAAATAAATTCTCTAAAAAAGAATTGGAATCCACAATGCGCCTACATTCAGAAAAGAAGTGTAACTGCCTAGCTCCTGTGCTCTGTGCTAGATAAAACCTATTGTAATTGCTTTGCGAAAGGTGGGTACTCTTAGGGAGAATATGAGATCTAATGAGAAAATTTAAATTGATTTGAGGATTTGACAACTCAAATTTATACTTAGACAATTCTAATTAAAATTAATGTTTCAATATAAATGATGAAAGTAAAGTGAAATATTTATGAGGATTATTTTAGTTTGCTAACCTCATCTTTATGAAACTACAAAGATTTCTCTCTTGGTTTCTAAAATAACAAATTATATTAGTTTGTGAGGGCTGCCATAATAAAGTACCACAGACTGAATGGTTTAAACAACAGAAATTTATTTTCTCGCAGTTCTGGAGGCTGAGAGTCTGAGATCAAGGCGTCAGCAGGGTTGGTTTCTTCTAAGCCCTCTCTCCTTGGCTTGGAGATGGCCGTCTTCTCCCTGAGTCTTCCCGTGGGCTTCCCTCTGTCTGTGTCTGTGTCCTGATTTCTTCTTCTTATAAGGACACCAATCACGCTGGATTAGAGCCCACCCTCCTGACTTTGTTGTAACTCAGTTAACTCTTCTCCAGATGCAGTCCCTTTCCGAGGTACTAAAGCTTAGAACCTCAACATATGAAGTGAAATAGACACGATTCACCTCATAACACTGAATTTAGTTTTAATCTTTTCTTCTTAAAATTTTTTTCAGAGATTAAATTGTTTCTGTTGCTTATAAGTCAGCTAGCTTAATCTTCAGTGTTTTTGTCTCCTGAAGAATATAATCTGGGTAGAGTTCTTTAGGTATTTGGATAGTGTATGCTTGGGTAAATATTTCTCAGGCATTTTTTTGTTGTTGTTGTTCTAAAGAAAAATGGAACCAGTAGCTGTGATCTGAACATCTATTCTCCAGGCTCTCATTAAAAATTCATGTGTTTATGTGGATAATTGTTAGCACAACTTTCTTCTACTGCATCGGGAAGCATCCTTTACCACTACCAGCCCCCACCTTCCATGGTATAGTGACTTAGAGTTTATAAAGTACTTTAACGTACACTACTTCGTTTCATTGTACGAGGAGTAGACAGAGTAGATATGGATGACTCTCCCCATTTTACACGTGATAGACCCAAGAAGTTCAGATTGACTCTGGATGCCATTCAACACATCATTGCCAAGCCTGGCAGTGTATAAGACACTGCCCTGTGTGCTTGGAAAAAGCTGGGGTTAAGATAAAGTTCTTGTTCTCATGGAATTTAAATTCTAGTGGCTAAAACAAGAAACAAATACATCTATGTCATAATGTCAGATAGCGATGAGTGCTATAAATGAAAATAAAGTGGGTAAACGGGTGAGGGATCGTGGGTGTTGTCTGCAGCGTGAGTGAAAGCGGAAGAGGTGCCTGTGTTTGCAAAGGGGGGATCTACAAGGGCATCATAGACATAGTGAAGACCTTGGCTTTTGCTCTGAATTGATGAGAAGCCATTGGGGGCCTTTGAGAAGTGAGTGATCCTCTGACACTTCCTTGGTTGCTTCCTCCCCTTTTCTGTACCACACCACCCGAGGTATTGGAACAGAGTATAGAAAATAGGTACATAATTCCCTTTTGGTTCATATTTTCTTTTTATATTTAATTCTTTAATGTTTAAAACAATGAAGGTTATCTTCTTAAAGATATTTGTTAACTTTCTTATGGTGATATACCCAGAACCCCCGAACCCTAAGAAAAATAGCACAGGTGGTCCTTCATGTCTCATTTGCAACGTTATTGCAAATGAAGGAGTTGTGCTCTTCCCCTTGTGACATCGGGACTTTGTACCAATGAGGAAGGGCAGAGGACAGACCAACACTTCTTTCTTTGACTCTCATCATCTACTTGTTTTCTTGTCTTGGCCCCTCTGCCTCCTCTGCCTATTGCATAGACACTGGGTTCTTCAGGCTTCTCCACTTACTCCCACTGTCTTACCCCGTGTGGCATCATCTACTCCTGTGGCTTCAGTGACTGTGTCTATACCAACCTGTATTGCTAACCCAGACCTCTGTAGTTCTAGATTCATAATTCTTACTACTTGCTTTACTCCAGAATCCCTTAAGCACACACACGTAAATTTGACAAGTTCTAGTCATTTCCGAGTTATCTTTAATCTCTTCCTTGCCATCATGTTGCACCTCCGTTGATCACAGAATTAGCAGATCTCTCCCACTTTCATCTCCACTACTGGAAGCTCTTGTGTTTTTCCATCTCGATGTTTTTAGTAGCCTTTCCTCATTCTGTTCTTCTCCTGCTCTAAACCACCCTCCGAACCAGGCTCAAATTACCTTTCTAACACACTGATCTGAATTTGTCACATTGTTCCACAAAATCCTGTGGACTGCTCGTTGCCTGCTGAATAAAATCCAGGTCAGCTTGTAGACTTTCTCTTCTGTTCCATTGCTTCTTCATATGTCTAGGAATTTTATTCTTGTGTGCTTGGTATCGTGGATACAATACGTGGATACATTGTTAAAAGCCTAGATTTTGTTGGTTTCCTTTAGAGTGGAGCATCTCAACCTTTTCTTCGTTATCATCCCCTGTAAGGAACCTTTTTAGACTTTCTAATTGCCCCTTCTTCCTCCCACCCCCATGAAATTTTAATGCTATAGATACACTGTATATCTGTACATACTATGACCCTTTGGAGGACCCCGTGTCTTTGAAATATCTAAAATTCCTCGTCTTCCCAAGAGCTGGTGTTTGCCACCATGGCATGATACCACCTCTGCTGTTAATACATGTTTTGGAGAATTTTTTTTTCTTTTTCTTTTGTTAAGTAAGCTCTGTGCCCAGTGTGGGGCTTGAACTCACAACCCTGAGATCAGTGGTCACATGTTCTACTGACGAGCCAGCCAGGTGCCCCTTAGAGAATGCTGAGCTTTATTTGGACAAGCAAGTAACTTACTAACAGATCATATCAATCCTCTCAAGGCTTACTG